AATCCCTTAACAAGAACCCAGTATAGACGAGAGTCTGGCCCAGGTTTTAACTTTGACTTTTGGATCGCTGCACATGTCAGCACCAAGTATAGTGGGGCTTTGTAGCGCCCAAGTGAAGCTCGGCTTCATAATGTGGGTAGCCTGAGAAATCGAAGGTTTGTGCGCGCTTTGCCCTTGACTTGCTGGCAAGACAGATCGAGTACGCCGAGAGATCGAGTTGATGGCCTACAGGCACCTCACGCCGAAGCACTCAGAACAGACATCCTACCACTCACTCAGCTAGCTGCTAGCTGTCTGAGCACGATGATGGTTCCTTGAAGGGTATGTTGAAGGCCGAGGGTCCCACCGATGCGGGAGCAGCTTGCGGAGGTACTTGGCCGCGGCCTTTGATGATGGAAGACACTTGGCTCCAGCCTCTTTTCCTCAGTTTCACTTCAACTCTGCCTGGTTCCGTTGCTGAGGTGGCGGTCTCCTTGATTTGGTGTTGCCGTTACTTCGCGCGCTAGTCTGATATGTTGTATCGGCTCATGTCCATACCGATGCTCGTGGTTGAGCCCGACGCTTCTGTATCGAGCGTCGTTTAGGCGACGACCTCGCCGAAGGATATGTTTTCAGGGCTCGCTTTGGTCCGTGAAGTCCACGAAAGGGCCTTGCCACTTAGGCTTGGTTCTCTACACCTCACAAGGTGCCTGGCTGCAAGAGGATGAAGCTCGTGTTGGGGTTTACAGATTTTCGGAGTCACCTCGAGGTTTCCTCTTGCGGAAGGTTGATGGCCTAAACGTATGCCCTCTGCTGGGCCTGCAGGGGCTCGCAGACAGAACCCTTCGAAGCATCTCTGTCTTGAGTCTCCTGCACACTTCATGAGCTTCCGAAGGCCCCGCCGGCGCGCCGGTGCCGGTGCGCAGTTGGGCGATAAGCGAGGCCCGGCTGCGGCGTGCCCTGCACAACCCAAAGCTTGGAACACCAATACAACGGATGTCTGTAGGAAGTGGCAAACGCATCAGACGAGACCTCTTCGGCAGCGTGGTTCAAGCCCGGAGTCTCTGAGTCTGCCCGGCTACATGGGCGCGGCCTGCTACAGGAGCCAGGCTGACACCATGAGCGAAAGCCTGACTGATGCCGCGGCTGCAGATGTCATTCAGCAGATCAAGGACAGCTTCAACAAGGAGTTCGAGATCCCAGTCGGACACAGGCGCAGTGGCGACTGGGTCGTCGTGGTCAGTTGTGACAACCAAGACACGCGCGAGGAATCCTTCATGACAGAGTGGCTGTTCCTCGCTCGAACTTGATCCTCCCCTCCCCTCCCCATGCCCCATGAAGAGCCCCAGAAGTCGCACGAGCCCAGGTTTTACCTTCCCGGCTGGAAGCCGGGGTCGAAGCCGTGGGATGCTGCTTCTTTGAAGAAGTCTTGGACCGACAACGACAGCAAAGGCGTCAAGCCCACGGGCACGGGCCTGGACTTCTCTGAGGATGGTAAGTCCGTGAAGGAGGTGCCTTTTTAGGCCTTAGGCTTTGTTTAGTTAGTTTAGTTAAGGGTTTCCCTGCACAGCATCCGGCCTTGAATGAGCAGGGAGGTCTGGACAAGAGCGTCTTGGATGGGTACTTTTAGTGGTTTAGGATCACTGTCCACAAGCACATCTAGCAGGACTTCGGAGCCCGAAACAAGTTGAAATTATGGACCCAACTAGCTCATCTTCACATGGAGCTTCAAATCGTGGATGCAGAAGTTGCTCCAAATCGTGGCCGAACTCCTTCTCGAAACCTTTCCCTTTCACATTCCGTGGGTGGCTTACGGCTTGCTAGGCCCGCCGACGCCCGAGCTTTCCTGCCCCGACCCTTGAAACGTGGCCTGCGAAGGTGGCCCGAGGCTTTTCTGACGTGAAGGCCACCTTCAATCTCGCTGACCTTAAGAAGTGAGCACATGTGTCACCGATGTTCTGGTGCAGCCGACCTGACTCCCCCGCTTGCGATTTGTCCATGGGCGGAGAGCTTCCCCTTTGCTGCCAAACCTTGGCCGACGGCCTCTGCAAAGTAAAAGTCCGGTGGGGATCTGGGCTGACCTGTCCTCTGTGGAACCTTAGGCCTCTGCGTCTTTGGCCTCCTGGCTTCTCCAATCTCTGGCCAGGTGACGGCGGTGGCGGTGACAAACGATGCCCTCATCGTGGCAGGCCGTGTTTACTTGGGAGCAGTCTTCAGTGCTGAAGGTTTTGGGTCGAAAGTTTGTTCAGCCCATTCTTGCCTGGCTTGCTGAGAGCTCAGAGGTCCCCTTTCAAACAGCCTGTGCAGGGCGGCACTAGTTAGCTACACAGGCGTCAAACTTGGGCCCCAAGCCTGCTACTATTTCAGTTCCAGGAACACGGGATGGCCAGCTAATACTTGCCGGTCCCGGAGACGAGCTGAGGGCTTTAGAAGCAGGGCAGCTCGGCTATGAGGATTGCCTTGTTTGGTCTCAGGGCAGCACCGGTCTGTGGAAAGAAGTTCCAAGGCTTGACAAACTGCCTCAGACTTCAGGGGGTGTCTACGCTTGTGGCGGCGGATCCTCTGATTTCGGGCTATGAACGAATCAGTCTGAGAAGCGTTATGCCGTTAAGATCCACCAAGGCACAAGCCAGCAGCAGTGACTACGCTGCTCCTGAGCCCTGCCACAGACGGCTTGGGAGGCCTGGCGAGAAACGGATGCCGGATGCCGCAGGGTTCTGGAGTCTGGCTTTGTCCGGATTTAGGAAGCACCAGGCGTGGGCAGAATTTCAGGGTGCCTTTTTCGCGGCACAGGAACCAAGCTTTTGGCACTTACAAGTATACTGTACCGATGCATTGGCACCTCTCACGAACAAGGGCGCTTCCGATCGAACATAAGCCCGTTTGAGTTCACGATGGGCCAAGCTCTGAATGAACCCTCGAACCCTTTTTGGCAGGTGTCTTGCTGGAGGAGGGAGCGCGTGGCCCTCGTGGCCTATTCTCTGCGGACAGCGCGGGTCGGCTGAGGCGGACCTGGTTGCCCGAGGCTCGCGGTTGCGGGATTTCGCTCGGCATTTACAGGTCAGGGTGGCTCCAGTTTTCGCCTCGGCCGTGTCTTAGAGCTGCGAGTTTGACAGAATTCTAAGTATAGCACATTTTATTGCGGGTGAAGTTTGACAGATCTGCTTTTGGCCTGTGTGAGGAGGGAGGCGCCTCGGATGGCCTTGCGAGCACTGCGGCCTGCCCGGAATAGAGCTGCCTGCAGTGGGAGGCTACTGTATACTCCGCAGGGCCATTCGTGAGGACCATATAAATATAAAGATAAAAGTACAACATGTTATATATATATATATATATATACGTACATATATATATATATAGATAGATAGATAAATCTATGAACTGTACATATCTCTCTTCATATATATATATATGTATATACACAGACAAAACATGTGTGTATATCTGTATATAAACATATACATACATAGGTACATACATGTATCTATCTATCTATCTATCTATCTATTTATCTATCTACCTATCTCTCTAATCGATATACATATAGACAAATAGGTAGACAGATACTAGCTAGATCGATAGATAGATAGTCAGATATACACACAGACAGAAACAGACAGAGACAGAGAGAGGGCTGGTTTCCGCTCAGCTCTGCGCGGAGCTCGCCGCTGCCATCCTGGCCTTGGAGCTTTGTCCGAAGACGGGCTCCCGGCTGCTAGCAGCTCGGACTCGCGGACCGGAGGTTTCCTGGAGGTTTTGGATGTCAAAGGGGGTTTCAAAGAGGGGTTTTTGTCTGCTTAAGCTTTGTGTTATGTACGAAATGACCTCAGATGGCACTGTTCTTTCTCACTGCTACAGTGTGTCTCATAGTACTGTCATTCTCGGGCTGTAGTACGAAATACTGCCATGGCAAAATCAGCCGAAGCCGAAAGCTCTTCCTTGGCACTTCCCTGTAGAGTGCTAGGCCCGGGAACCTGGACTGATTCGAAGGAGTATGGGGCTATTCATGGAGCTGTTTCCACTTGAGCTTCCAAAGTACGGGCACGCCATCCGTCCCCCAAGAGCACGGCGCTCAAGGTGTCCACCTCGGAGCGCATTGCCGTCATCGCCGATGCACTGGGCGCGGAGGTCGCGCCGGCGCAGTGGGTGTCTTGTCAGAGAGGTGGTGAAGATGGCCGTAAATTTTGCCGGCTGGCTTGGCCCGCTACGCAGAGACAACACATACTCCGGCGCAGCCGGCGAGCAACGAAATAAAAGTCTTTCAGCCCTTCGGGTTTTGGGGCTTGGAATTGCCCAGGTCGGTTCCAAGCCACACAAGAGCCACCTCACGGCCACCTTCTGTACCTCGGTGGCACGGGGGTTTGTGCTTGGGTGCACGACAACCCTCTGCCGAGGCGACCACTTCGGCCCGGAGGCTCTCGCGACATCTGTCTTGATCCGCGAGAGAAAGAGAGAGAGAGAGAGAGAGAGCGCCTGAATGAGAGATAGTTTCACGCTCCCTTCAAAGCCCCATAACAACCCATAACATATGGGGGGGCCCTGGTGGCCGGGGTCTAAAACGCCCTTCATGCCCTGTGGAAGAAGCGCACGTGAATGAAAGTGGCAGAGCACGTTGTGTATCTCTGCACCCGTCAGGTCCTGAGTAATTCGTGTCCCGCAGCGAAACCATGTAAGATCATGTAAGTGTGTACGATGCCCCGGAGGCCGACCTCATCGCTGCTCGACCCGGCGGGCGTCTCTGGGTGGCATCGGCAGAGAGCGGCACCGTCAGGAGTGGGACTCAAAACTTGGGGGCGCAGGGTTGCAGGTTCATCACGAGCATCACTAGCAGTCACTAGCATCACGAGCAGTCATGTCCCCATGGCAGTTGGCTTGGTTTGTAATTAGGTAGACCTCGGCAGTGTTCGCTTTGCTCGAGCTTTGATGTCCCCCCCAGCGCTTCCGAAGGACAACTCTGATTTTCCAGAATCCGGGCGGCGAGGGAAAGGCCAGAGTTTGCAGAGAATGATTGTTGCATTGCCTCAGGCGGTGCTTATGACTTTCTACAGACGTCGGAGTGGCTTCCTTAAGCAGCTTGGTTCACCAAACAGACCTTTCGGCTATTCTTGTCGCCGGAGGCCGCGCTGGGGTCGCTGCTTCCGTTACGCAGAGACCGTGTGCTCAGTGTCTCCCGGAGCGATGCCGCAGAGGCCCAGCTATTCATTTCATGTCATATGATATCACGTCATGTTATGTCCTGTCATGCTATTTCCACAGCATCTGTAGTTCGAAGGCGGCGTGCTGAGAGTTGTACAAATCCTGATGGGGCAGCGCTGATGCAGCTGTTGACTCCATGGATGTCCTGCTTGCCAGCATGGGTTCGTGGTCGTGACGGCTTAATGCAGGTGGTTCTCTTGGATCTGGAGGCCATCGCAATTAGCTCGCAGTGGTCTACACCATCTGCATCTTGGCTCGACCGGAGCTCTTGGTATTTCGGCTGATGTTCTGGAGCCTCTGGCCTTATGATACCTGTATCATCCCGTATCCTAAACCCTGACTTAGCCTTGTCTTTTTAGGGGTTCCTCTACGTGCTTCGACGCCCGAACAGCAGGTCGTCGACGCCGTGCCGTGGCCTGGCGGGGCGCTCCTGGCTCATGCACAGGCGAAAAAGCCCCGGTGGAGGGCAAGGGTTCTTTTTTTGGGAGGTTCTGGAGGAGTCCTTTAATGGATAGCTGTACTATGGAATAAACTGGAGCTTGAAGACTGCTTCTCGTTGTGGGGAGTTTAGACAGCTGCACAAGAAAGGATCAGCATCTACTAGTAGTGCTCTTCCGAGGGCGGCGCCTCCGTGGTGCTGCTCTCTGCTGGGTGCCTTGGTAGGCAAAGCCCGGTCTGCATTGCAGGGAGAGCAGTGTTCCACAGCGGTGTTCGTTGTGACGGTGAGGGGAACTATCATCTTCGCAGACATGTCTTATAAGGTTCACGAGGTCATCGCTGCAGCTCCAACACCCTAGTCTGTAAACTTGCATGGCCTACCCACTGGGTATTTGGAAAGTGGAATCCAGTTTGGGGACCGAGGCCTCTGGTGATCTGCATCTCGGCTGGGATTGGGGTCTGGATGCTAGGCCTGTCGAAGGTCTTTCTCGTGGCTGATTCAGGGCTCAGGATCTCCACGAGCTACCCATGAGCTTCCTGGCTTCGCTTTGAAACATCTTCGGTCCCAAAGGCTGCTCGCGAAACAGCAGAACGACTGTGTAGATCAGCACGGGGCTGCTCTCCATCGTGCTTTCGTGCATGCATGACGAGCAAAACGCGCAGCCAAGCCAAAGCAGTAGATGCATAATAGGCCAAGGCTGTGTGACCCCGATGTGATCTCAGCGACTTGCTGTTCAGAAGCCATAGTCATCTCCTTATACTGGTGCCCCGGCGTATCCACGCCCGGGAATGTCAAGCCCATCCCAATCTGTTTGTTCAGCGCACAGAAGGTCACAGAAGTTTAGAAATCATGGGCCCCTGAACTTCCGCTAGCAATCTGCGAGTACGACCCGAGTCTCTTTTTCCACTTTCCCAATGGCCGGTTCGGGAAGTCCGCCTTGAAGGCCGGGCGACGATCGCTGCGCACAGTGCCGACCTTCTGGGAAGCCTCGGGAAGGTGAACAACCTGCGGCACTGCCGGCTACCGTTGTGGGAGTTTCCTGATATAAGCAGACCTGCATTCTCCTACAGGGGCCTTATATCATTTCAGAAATAGTATTCTGGGGTTCCAAATCATCATTCTAGTAGAACATATCGGGCCATATAGTTAGTAAAGCACATTCTCAGCTCTTCTCCGTGGGACTCTGTGTGTCTTGGAAGTCTCCCCGTGCCAGGGCATCACTGGAGGCAGTCCCCGCTGGTGAAGTTCTCGCAGGCGACTTCCCCCTTCTTGGCTTGTGTGATGCCTCGGGGCTGGGTTGCACTCCAGTTGCCGGGGCTTTGGACACGCGGCTGCAATTCACCAGCCGAAGGTGGCTTGTCCAAAGGACGGGATCTTGCCAATTGCGATGCCTCCCCGTAGCCTTGCCTCTGAGTCCGGAGGCCTTGCGCCGGTGGTCGCTGCGGTCGCCGGCGATGTTTCGGAAGGGGGCGAGGCTTGATCCGCTTGTTCCCTTTACAGCGGGAAGTCGCAGTTTGCTAACGAATGAAATTGCTTTCTGGGATTGCACTGGTCGCTGCTTCACGGGTCACTGGTCGGAGTTGGCTACATCAGGCCCAACTTTGACTGCTCAGCACGGATTGAGGCGTTGGCCAACACAGCAGCCAGTTGCCCTGCAGCCCTTAGCAAATCAATTTCCAAGTCTCCCGGCGATCCTGTCAGTTATGCTCCACACACGGCACCAGGAAGCGGAACGGCACAAAGCTGCGTTCACGCAATGGGATGCTTGACGAAAACTTCCTCAGGCTATGGTTTCAGCTGTGTTCAGATTCTTCGAACGACTTGTTGTTCATTTTGGGATGCATCCTCAGCAAGTCTTGGATGCCCCCTTGCTGCCGTTTGCTCACTTGATGGTTATCGAGCATAGAAAGAGCAGAAGGCCTGCGACGGGACGCCCCGAGGTTTCAGACTTGGAGGATCGACAGTTGCTCAGCTGCTTATGGCAAGACATGGACACAACGAGTCTTTGGGCCGTTGATATTGTCAGTCGGACTTTGGGAGGCAGTTCTTGTAGAGAGTGCCCAACTTGCGTATTTTGCGAGGCTGGAGACGGAACGCGAAGCATCGCGAGCAGCAGGCTCCGGGTTCCTTCGAGCAGCAATGTATTATTTCAGTGGGAAGCCAGCATGGGCTGTGAGCCTTATATGAACCTGCAAATATGATTAGTGCATGTATCGGGAGCCTTGATTGAACCCTCATCACAGCAAGCTCCGGTCCTGAATGCAGCAGGCAAGCCATGGGCAGGCGTACGCCTTGTCGACGAAGCTCAGCTTACTGTATTCGTGCAGTCATAGTCATAGACATTCATGCAGTCACCATCTCGCCTGGCTGGGGTGTTTAGTTCAGTGTAGACATCGGTCATGTTGAGTGCCGGAACCCGACCGGAACGCAGAATCCAAGAAAACCCGGACACCTCTGTTGCGAGCTGATGCCGGGGTGAAGCATCGGTGCTGGATTGGCTTTTGAACACAGAAGCCATCTACCTTAGCTCAGCGGAATCGCACAATGAGGCTGCCCTGTCTAACTTCCCTGTGGCCACCTGGGTCGTCCGCGAGGAGGAGCGCGGTGGAGACGAGGCCAATCAAGCTTCCTGCAGGAAGGGCGTCTAGGGTTCAGGGCCGGATGTTGCCGACATGAAGCACTTTCGACGAAGATGCCCTTGGGCTTCAAGTTCAGTACATGCCACTATGCTCGAGGCACATCAGCGTGGCCAAGACATCGAAGGACCAGAACGCACCTGGAGCTTGAAGGGTGCGTGCCAGCGCCGCAACTCTTTTCGGAGAACTCACAACCCCGCGTGGGTTCACAACACTGTCCACCAAAATCCAAAAAATGTCATCACGTGGCAGGCCATTATGGTTCTTACATTCGACACACCGATGCTTAACTAATCTTAACTAGCTACTGTAGTTTCAAGTTTTGCAGGACTTCTCTCTCCGAGCCTCTGGCTGCAGTCCCTGGAGCTGATCGCCTGCCACGCCAAGGAGACCGGCGTCTGAGGGCCCAGGAATTTGGGAAAACGGAGCTTGACACAGCACATGATACCACAAACAAATTACTCCAACTGCCCCCCAAAAGCATCTCAGACTCAGAAAGACATGACCAGGTCTACATGCAGCGCATCACAGCACGGAAAGCTGTTTGGATGAAGGAATCCTGTTTAAGTTTGGGTTCTTCAGGTCGCGCCCTGCATTGGGCCTTTCGAGCCGGCGTTGCTGGGGCCCATGGTTCAGGCGCATTTTCTCCAAGTCGGGTTCCTTGTGGGACAACACGGGAGCAAGTCGCTGGGCACGAGTCAGACGGGCTGGGATCTTTGGGTTACAGCCAACGGCCGGCATGAACTTTTACGGACAAATACGGCGATATACGGCTTACACGGATCAGTATCAACCTCCGGGTTGATGTCGGGTTCTGACCGTCGCCATGGCTGTCGCTGCAGCAGCTGATTCTTCGTCTGTCGATCGCCGATTGTGCTGCTAGAGGTGAATCTTCCCGGAAAGACCTTGAGTGTTTTTGTTCTGGTTTCGTCATGCTGCGCTTGACCGAATCCGTGCGCTCGTGCGCATCTTTGTCCGGTGCTAAATTGCAATTTCGGAGGCTGGTGTTGCAGGCCTGCACTTTCAGCCACCTTGGACCTGGAAGAGGAACCAGCGGGCGTTTTTGGCCATCCGCTTTGGAAGCTGTCTCCGTCTCGCCGTGGAGCCGTGCTCCAGGAGGTTGCGAGGAGTGTCTTGCAGCGGGCTTATCCGGAAAGTCACTTCCAGGATCCTGTTCCAGGGATGTCAGCTTCAGGTTTTACACGCCCGTTGCACCAAGCAGAGTGGGATTGGACGATGGATGGCCGAAGGGTTGAGTGCAAGAGTTCTTCTCTATCCTGGTACAAGTGCGGGCGTCAATGGAGAGCCCAGTTTCATGCTGTGAAGCTTGCGCATGATGGGTTCCGACAAGATGCTTTGTTTGACGACTTGCTGCTGGTATTGCTCTCCCCAGATTGTCTTGACATTGTCCAACACGATCTGCGAACGGGAGTATCTTCAGCAGGCTATAGGACTTGCACAAGAGGCTACAATATTGACATCAGAGCAGCTGCTCATCAGCTATGCTGGAAGGCAGCCAGGAAACAGATACTTCGCAAGCTCTGCGAAGGGAAGGGCTCATGCATGTCTGTTGCACAGGTTCCCCTGTCAGATCCATGCCTTCACTCGACGTTGCAGAAGCATCTCGCAAAATGCCCTGCAATGGCTCGTAATCCGTACGACAACCTGCCGCTGAGCTTGTCGAGTCCCCCAAGTCGTGGATTGCACATCCAGCAGATCGCCTTGGAAATCGATCAAAGGCTGCATCCAGATGCAAAGTTCTCGTTTGGGTGTGGAGGAAGGACTGTGTCCGGCAGAAGACTTTCAGCGCACAATGCGCCAGTGGATTGGGTTCGTGATGAGATACGGGTTGAGGTCAAGCATGGCAAGCTGGCTTACATCTCCCGTTCCAAGAGTTGGAAATGCACCTTCAGCTGCATCAAATGTGCCTTTCCTGGCACTCGTTTCCGGGACCTGTACGACGAGCTGTGGCTCGTGATGTACAGCCCGCTGGGGCTGCACTTTCTGAAACACCACGGACGGTTTGGCTTGTCAACATCCGGCTTGTCGACCGCAGTGTCGGGGCATCAGGTGCAAGTGTATGGGCCGTCTCAGGAAATGGACAGCAGGGTAGCTGCTCAGGTCATTTTAGCGAAGCTCTTGCACAGTGGGTGCGTTTTGCTTGCACAGGTCTTGTGGGACCCTGACATTTTGCGCTCCCATCCAACTTGCGGTCCCAACCCTGGGTCGAGCGCGAAAGCCAACTGCCATAAGAGTGATGTAGCACTATCATATCTCATATGTTTAGCTGCCAGTACGGCGCGGATCGATGTTGGCTGAAGCTCGGGGTCTTCACCGGTGGGTCTAGTAGCGGCTGCTTCTCTCCGAGACGCCAGTGGCTGTGTGGCATGGATTTTTGTCTGTTCCGCCTTGTCCAGGCCTTGGAGACTACAGGACACCTCGCCGTCTGTCAACACGGTGCGCCCCTGCTGCCCTGGCTGGCCGAGAGGCCCCCAGCATGGCTATTAGGAACCCAAGAAGGAACATGAGCATAAGCCTTTTAGAGGGATATCCCTACCTTCATTATAAGGGGGCCTTTAATGGGATATCCCTATCCCAAAAATCTATTCAGCCAAGCACTTCTCGCTGTTCGAAGGCTGGAGGCCGAGGCGATGGACCTCGGCTCAAGTGCAGCGCTTTCTTTGGAGCTGCTCGTGGCCGGCGAGGACGGCATGCCCCAAACGTTCCCAAACGGTGAGATTGAGCTTGTTTTTGGCCTTGCCTTGCACCTAAAGTCCTAGCTGCATGCGCCCTTAGGCCCTGAGTCTCTGGAAGGTCATCGAGTCTGTGCTTTGCTTCGTCTTGCATGGAAGGATTGGCCTGCGATCGGACTTTCCCCTTCAGCTGGCGGCGAGCCGGCGTCATGGGAAAGGCCGATACTAACACTGCTTTACAGGTGGGTAGAGGGTGTTGTTCGCATGAGTTTGCGAAATTGGCAGGCGCCTCGGGGACCGACCCGTTAAGGCCTTGACACATTAAGCACCCTCGTTTGATGAATCCAGACTGAGAGTTGGTCCTGGGTTCCAAGTGTGAGGACACTGAAAGTGAAGCAAGAACTGTTTGATCTGGAGACCGACAGACAGTACCAAGAACTCCCGCCGCAGGGAACGTCTCGCGGCGCACCTCCGCAATGCAGTGCCTGGTTCAGCCTTGCCTGCTTCAGCAGCCCTGGCACTGTGCCGCTTCTGCTTCTCGGATGGTGAAGTTCCGAAGCATTGGCTTGCCTCAAGGTGTGTTGGTGCCATTGGAGCACATGCTTGGCGACAAGTTGCGGCAGCATATACAATATGTTGGAAAGCGCGTGCGTGCGCGCTCACCAAGGCTTGACCGAGGATGATTTGCTGGCTGCTGAACGATGCCACTTCTGGGCGAATGGTCTGGTCGCATCCAGCAGCTTGGTGTTCCCGTTTGCTTATTACCGTGTTGATGCAGGCAGCAGTGAGGTGTTTAGATCACCCAGCGCCCAGGTTCTCCTGGCTGGCGAGAGGTGGCTGCCGTCGCCCGAAGTTTGGGTCCCGCAGCACCGGTGCAGCCTGCAAGTGCCACCACATGGCGCGAGGCTTTGGGATGGGAAATAGTGTCTAGTTCCCATTCTCTGTTCTGTGGTGACGGATGCTCATTGACCTAGGCAGAAGGTTGCTGGATTTTAGTCAAGCCTTGTTACAGGCGGTTCTGGCAGCCCTGGCAGCGGATCGCTACTGGCCTTTGCAAGTGCCTTGGTAGCTGCTGAAGGAGCTCGCCGTCAGCTGTAACGTGTCTCACACGTGCTGCCGGTTCGCGGGTATTTGCTAATTTGGTTCTGAGCTTGTGCTTGCTCCCAGCCTTGAATCCGAGGCGCTGCTTGCACAGGGGTTGGCATCAGATGGTGGGGAGGTAGCTGCACCAGGAGCGCTCCCTCAACAATGGTAGTGCCGGGTGGCAGGCAGTGCCGCATGTCTCGAAGTCTGAAGAGTCTTCTTGTGCCTGCCTCGAGGAGATGTTTTCGAGGCCGCCTTGACTGCCTTCCCGAAGGCAAGGCTGCGAATCTATTCTAGTGGACTGCACTTCCTGCATGTATCAAGTAGACCACGTCTAAGTAGACCTTCCATGGTTATGGGCCCGCCGCAGAGCATGTTGAGCTGGGAGGTGCTGCCGTGGAACATCGTCGACTGGATGTCCTGGGCCTTCGAGCATCCTGGCAGTCACATGGGAGGCCCTTTTTGGTGAACACTAGGCCTTCGCCCTTCGGAGAAGCTTGAAACGCCAGGTCGAAGGCTGAAGGCTTTTTGGCCTTCGCTTCTCAGAAACGATAGCAAAAGAGCAGCATAGGTCCACGCCTCATGGGCTTCGACAGCGTCGAGTGTGGCGCTAAGATGGGCTGAAAGCAGGCACTTGGCCATAGAGTCTCACTCTCCAAGTACTTGGTCGAGGGATCGTCATGCCCCAACAGCCCCGCTGCCACTTGTTGAGGACTCGCTGGTGCAGGAGCTCCTCCAGTACGTGATGAAGCTTCTTCCAACCTGTGCCTGGGTCGCATGGACACACGACTCAGCAGCCTGAATACATGTCATGCTCAAAAAGACACATTACAAAATTTATAGAAGCCACCTGTAAAGGTGCAGTCGAAGCCTGCGGCCTTTTGAGAGTGGCTTCCAGGTGAGCGCAACCCTTTCTTCGGCGAGCTGCTCAAGGTCGGGTGACCCCCATCAAATCATCTGAGTTTTTTGGTGGATACTGGATACATGAGCCGGTCCATAATGTGTTCTGGCATCGGCATGCCAAAATCTCGGAGGCAGCCTTGGCCCTCGCGCTGCACCGCCGCCCGGCTGAGTGGCTGCGGCCGCCACCACTGCGAGCGCCATGGCAGCCAGTGCCAGCGTTCTTCAATGGTCCGGCTGTCCGGCGTCGGCTTCCGCGAGCTCTTTTTTTGGTTTTCATTATAGGCCACCATATATAGGACGCGGTAAGGGTTTGGCGGAAGCACTGCAGGCTGGTCGATGCCTGCTGGCTGACGCCCTGATCCGCCGCTATGGCGCCAAGCACCTGGAACTGTGCAAGAGACTCTGCGACGAGTTGCCACTTGACCAGCAGATGGGTCAAGTCAAGCTGTGCATATCTTAAATAAGGACCATGCCATAGAGAGGGGCTGGCATTTCATGTGAAGCAGGCGATACCCCCTGGGTGTGATGCAGCTTCTGCTTGGGTGCGAAGAGCCCCGCTGCGACGATTCATCGGACACCTTGGGGCAGATCAACGCGGTGCTCGCCCGCAGCCGACACCTGGCTGAATAATTTGGATACGAGCTCGGCAGAGCAAAGGAGATTGGCATTCTGGCAAAGCAGTCGTAGCTGACAGGTTCACGAAGGCTTCGCCGTCTGTTTGAATGCGAACGGGTTTGCATCACTTGTGCCTGCCCGAGGAGCCGCGCAAGACCAGGCAGCCCCTCGTCCTACACTGTGACAGTGTCCTCCCAATCGCCTCCCGAAGAAGCTGTGGCCTAGCGATCCCGCACTTCTGCTCAGATGAGGTGGAAGTTTCCGAGCCCCGGTTCCGGGAGGCCTCGGCATGGCAAAATTGCTTCCCCGTGGGCGCCGTAGAGCTCCGACAGTGCAGGTGGCCTCGGCGGTGCTGCGTGCTGCAGCGGCCTGGACGGCGGAGGAGGCTTCGGAGCCGCCAGGCCCTGCCCCAGCACCTTGCCCTGGACATGTAGGGTCTACTGTACCTCGACCGCGAGAGCAGATCATTACCTATATTACCTTATGACTTCCGCGCGGAGCTCTTGTCGATTCTCCTGCTCTTCGGTCATCCGCCCTGGAGACTAATTAGTCTAAACTAGTGACTACTGTAGTGACGGGACATGGGGTTTCAGGGAGTTCTCTTGCACACGGCACCGCCGCACTTAATGCCTCCAAGGTGAAGACACCAACCCCTCGATGCGCTATCTGCGATATGCCGGGCTGCGAAGTCCAGATGGTCCGAGGCCACTTCACTGGGACAGGGACTGAAGGAGTGCCTCTGATTCGTTGCTTGAGACCCTGAAGCCTGAAGCCCAACATCCGGGATTCAGAACAGCCAGAACTGCATCCATGTGCGGCCTTGACGCAGCCTCGACATGTGCATGTGTTTGGGGAGGTGCTTCTCCCGTCGTGCGCAAAGACGGGCGCATCAATGCCTGGCACGACGTGGCTCTTGCACTGTTGCTTGGCGCCAAGAAGACCTTCACAACAGACCACCTAGGTTAATCTCACGAATAGAACCTATTTTTCAAAATGGTTTCTTGATTCGTTCAATGGTTGACAGGAGCCATGCTCAACGATGGAAATCATCTCCGGAAAGGAAATGGGATGTCTTGTGTCACGCTTCATTCCATTGCATCTCATTCAATTCATGCATTCGTGTATTTCCGTCTTTCCTTTCTTCCTACTTCCTTCTTTCCTTCCTTGCTTCCTCCCGTGCTTCCTTAGCTTGCTTCCTTAGCTTGCTTCCTTCCTTGCTTCCTTCCTTGCTTCCTTCCTTCCTTCCTTCCTTCCTTCCTTCCTTCCTGCCTTCCTCCCTTCATCCTCCCTTCCATCATCATTCGTTCATTCATCCATATATTCAGCATGGGAGAGTTTCGATCTCAGCGGAAGTCCAGGCACCGGCTGGCCCAGCCACGGTTGAGCAGCCCTGATGAGCATCGCTGGCAGTTTGTCGCCCGATGGATGTCTTGGATGGTTTTTCTTTGGCATCGTCTTGCTTGCGAGATGGGGGGCGCTACGAACAGCTGAGACTGCTGTGCACTGTCGTGCAGCAGGCTAGCAAGTCACAGCCCCTGCGTTCCCAGTCGTTCACAGGTGATGGAGGCAGCCAGCAGGGCACCCCCTGGATTGCTTGCTGCACTTGCGGCACTCATGCCTGGCCGCGGCGCGACGGAGGCTGTGTTCGTTCATGCTCGTGTTCGGAACGGAACGCCCGTAACTTGCTGTCGGAAGGCATGCCTGCGCAGCATCGAGGAAGAGACGTTTTTGGGCTCAGGACTGCCCGAGAGCCAGAGAGGCACAAAGTCCGTCATGCGTCGATGCAGCCGCTCCATGGAGTTTGATGTCAGGACTGCTTTTGGACGGGACCTCAGCTGCTGCGGCAGCTGAAGCACAATGGCAGACAGCGTTTGGCGGAAATTGGCTGCAGCTGCCTCCGGAGCAGAAGAGGCAGAGCGGGGGCTGGACTTGCAGCCGGCTTGGATCTTCATGCCCATCCGAACCTCCACGGTTTACCTGGTTTACCTTGCCGACCTTGCCTGACAACTCCGAGTGCCTGTCTCGCCAGTCCTTTGCCGCCTCGCCCCCGTCCGCAGCCGCCCCCTCGCAAGCCGCCAGATGTGCCGGAGGGCCTACGCAAAGCAGGACCGCCCATGATTGCTACTTGTAGCAGCTTGTAGCATCTCTGCAGTTCATGGCCGTGGCCTGTCTGTCGGAGTCGGGCTGGGGTGCTGTGCTCGCGGTGCATGAAGTGCATGTGGCATCTATGTTGAGTAGACGAGAAGTTGCGATTTGAGAAAGCGGTAGGCCAGGTTAGATGCATGCTTGCATTGCTCAAAAGCACGTGGTGCTCTTGAGGATCTGGAGTTCAACTCTGTATCTCCGAGGCGGGGAGAAAGGTCGTGATTGTCGGTGATTGTTGTCGGATCCCTGGGAGTGCTTAGCCAGCCATACTCGTGATCATGCTTATGCGTATCCTGCTAGCAACATCTCGGAGTTCTTCATGGGAGGATTCGATTCTCTTCTGTCCTACTTGTAGCTGATGTTATACCTGGGTATCATTCATATCTATCGATCGATCTATCTATCTGTCTATCCGTCTAATTATTGTTTAAGTTGTGTATTTCATATATGTATATGTATATGTGTATATATATATATGTATATAATACACACAGTAACAACAGACCTAACTTGGGGTATGGCTCAGGCTCTACAAGGAAACACGCGCGTGGCTCTTATTTGCAAAGCCTCCCTCCATGAACTTCGTCTCAGGATGGCTTGCAGGCCCGGCATTTGGACGACACCGGTGAAGAGCCGCTCGGCTGGAGCCAAGAAGACATCTGTTTTTTAATTAAAAACAGTTTTTAATGAAAAACGAGACATTCTCAGCACCACAGCACGGTACTTTGACCTCAGAGAAGTGACAGCCCTCGGCCCGAGGCCAGGCCAAGCAAAGGAGTTTAGGGTTTAGGGTTTAGGGTTTAGGGATTACTTCCGGGTTCTGCTGTAGGCTCCTGGTAGGCTCCGCTTGCGTGTGCCTGATGGCCAGGATGCATGGCGTCCTGATGGGCACGAGACCGCTTGCGCACGGCCGAGCCGGGGCTTACTTCGAGGCAGGCTGAATATACTGTACTGGGGTATTGGAATATGTCGAACTTGCAGGGTAGGCTCAATCCCTGCTTCTGCTCGGAAATATGTTGCTCCTTTGTGCTCGAAGCATGTAACTGTAAGAGACGTGGAAGGGGCAGGCCAGGCCAAATCCCCTGCCGTGTCAGAGCAGGTTGCTTTGGAAGAGGTGAGGCCGGGTGAAAGCCCCGATGGCCTCACTGTGGGCGTCACCACCACAGCACCGGATGACGTTGCCACCGCGCCGCAGACGGCGGAGCACATCGCTGAAACGCCCCTTGCAGATGTTTGTTAGTCTGCGTGGCTTGTTTGTTTAGACAAATCACATCAAACAAGCTTGTTCATGTCATCATCGCCTTGGCATGAACATGAAAACATTCAGCACTGCGGTACCAGCGTTGACGACCGCCCTAGCAGCCCTAGTACAGACTGAAGCATTCCGCTCGGGAGTTTGCACGCATTTTCCGAACTTGCGTAGCGTCATCTGGATGCTCTGCAGTCGGCTGAGCATCAGGTCTCAGTTCAGGTCACCATGAAGACACCAAATTGCACACTCGCAAAACTCTCGCAAAGTTCGGTTTGAGCTCTGTGCGGAGATTAGCAGAAGCCTTCAAATTCAGCGAATTAAGGTGGAGTGTGGGCTACGACGGGCAGATGTGGGACTGCAAGAGTGCTCGGCCGAGATGAAGTCTTTGTTGGATCTTGCAACCGCGGAAACCCGCAGAAACAGTGTGCAGCCCATCTCTGATCATCGGTCAGGGATCACTCTCAAAGGGGATGGCTGCCCGCCTAAAGGCCTTTCGTTTGCACCGATGTACGATGTGCTCTCAGGCGCCAGCCTCACGCAGCTGGGCTGGGATCCGCGATCCCTAGTGGAAGGCAGGTTTGGGGTTCGTGGAGGCTTCAAGAGCTGTAGTGGTGGAACATGTCCGGGTGCGCATCGTCATGCTCATGTTCGTTCGAAATTGCCATGGCTTTTGTATCAGGAGTTTCGGTTGTGCAGGGGAAACTAGTTGTGGTCACTGTCACTGTATTGAAGGGGTGGGTGCTTTCGGCTGCAAGTTGCTTCACCTCGGCCGCCCGGCGGCCTCCCCTGCAGAGCCGTAGAGGTGACATCATCGGCGTTCTGGTCACGGCCAGGGAGGGCGAGCTCATCGTCTTCCGGAATGGCTGCCGGGCTAGTGAGGGCTGGGTCGATCGAGGTCGAGATGGGAGGAGTTTGGGTCTGCAGGGTCCTGTTCCGAAGCAGATGCACAGGCAAACGGCGGGAACTGAAGCTGCTCGTTCTACTAGTCACGCGGCAGAGATCCATCCTCAGGTACAGCCGTCTGCGCGGGCCCTCGATCGATTCCCGTGGACGAAGAGCTTTACGCTGTGGTGGACCTGTTCTTTGGCCGCAGCTCCTCTCTCTCTCTCTCTCTCGCTCTCAGATCACCATCCTTCGGGCTCCAAAGGCAGCAGAGGTATCCCAAACACAGAGCCAACGTCAAGCCACGACTCCAAGGCTCGGTGCCGCCAGGGCGGTGCGCTGGGTCTGCGACGCCCAGCCGCCAGGCCAGTGAAAGCGGCCGCGTTCCCAATGCTTCGCCTCCTTTGAGTACAGAGACCGTTGGCGCCTGGACTTCTACCTGTGGCTGGATCGGCCTTGCTGCCGCCGTAACCGAATGCGTCAGCACCCGCGTTCTGGAGTCTTGGAGTTAGCCGACAGGCACTGCTTGCCCCGATCGCATCGAGCTGCCTCTGCCACATGCTTTCAGTGATGACATTTGCAACACCGGGGTTTCTGCTTGGAGCCGCCCGGAGATCTTCGCGAAGCCTGGAGCTGGCAGTTCGTTTGCGCATGCCCGGGCAAGTTCGAGCGCAGACCCCGCATCGACAAGGAGGACTGCGACGCACTTCTGCGCATCCGCAGCATCCCGGAGGTCTCGAATCCAATGCGTCCCGTGCTTGGGGAGACGGCCGCGCGGGAGAGTTCTGCAGACATGTCTACTGCCTGAACTCGTCCCGCGGCGTCATGGCACACAGAGACAGAGAGTGCCGATCATCGTTTCTTCGGAGCCATGTTGTACAGAGCTGCAAGTGTGATGAAGCACTCTTGCGCAGATGTAGCATGTTGATATCTGTCCGATAATCACCACCAGAGGAAAAGGGCTTTACCGGGTGCTACACCTCGCTGTATTACCTCTACTGAAACCTCTCACTCTCATCTCAGCTCCCGGGGTCAGCAGGCAAGCGCGCACTGCGAGCCCACAACGACTCGCGCCCAAGAGCAGAAGTAAGATGCCTTCATACTGCCCCCCAATAGTGTGTTATAGTCACAGTCATACGAATGACAAATGTTATTGTTATGCTGTTATACTATGCTTCACTTTCGAGAACCTTTAAAGCAGGCCCAAGATCGGCATCTCCCTGAGGTGCCCAGTGCCGCTGGGCTTTTCCAGCTGCCAGAAGGCCGGATCAAAGAGCCTCAAAGTGGTCATGATGGAGCGGTGCCAGTTTCTTCTTGTCGTGGAGGCAATCAGCGTATTTCGAAGTCCTGACTTGTTGCCGAACAGGCTACGGAGTACGTGGCTGGCCGATGCCGGTGGGGAGCTTGGGCAAGGGTTGGTGTTCAGAGCAACTTCAGCAGTCCGGGTGCTATTCGTCGCGACCTCGCGCATCTAGGAGACAGGCTCGTCGTGGCATATAGTTGTGTTCACTTCTTGTTGAATCTCGATGCTGTTAGTCGGTGTTCTGTATGTACACATCCGCGTGCTTTCCGCTTCAGTTCCATGAACAGCTCAGGTTGCCGTCGTGGACGGCGAGTTTCTGAAGGAGCTGAGTCAGCGAGCTCACGAGTCGCTATTAAATGAACCTGTTCAGACTTTGTTCACATGGGAGTTTCCGAAAATAAGGAGTACCTTATTTTGGGGGTCCTTATAATTATAATAAGGATCCTATTATTTAGGGTACTATATTAGGGTCCCCTATTTTCGGAAACCCCCACATCTTTGAAGCCTCTTGGGCTTTGGTTCGTTGCTGTGGATCTGCATGTTGCTTCTCCGTTAAAGTACATCAGCGGAACTTTCGTGCTCCGTCTTATAGACTATTCAAGCGTCTTTGTAGGCGTCGAGAGCATGGAAGCCGTTGCATGCTCACAACATCCAAATGCCTTCCGTATCGGTTTTGACGCTATATGTGCCGTTTGAGAATGAGAATATCACGCTGGTGTAGGTTATGTCGCGACTGTAGCGATAGTTTTCACTGAAGCCTTGATGTCGAACCCCTCAGCGAGCTTGCAAGAAGATGCAAGCGGGCTGAACCGTACAGTCGCCACTGCCATCAATTGCAGTATGCGTTGTGTCACTCGCTCTTTCGAGTCTACATATGAGCACCATTACCCAGCATCAAGTTGTTTCTCGCAGCTCTCTTCTTGATCCAGATAGCCTCAGCAGGTTGAGAACTGACAGGCTGACAGGTCCGAAAATCAACGGGAGGGCAGCCCGTGACGTGGCCCTTCCTTCGCATGTTGCTTTCCGCATTGCCTGCTGTTGCTCTTTGCACTGGGACCTTCAGATGCAGCCCGAGACGTATGTGGAACCCCGACAGACGAAGCTGCTCTGAGTGGCAAGCTGGAAAACCTCTGATCCTTCCAGGAGCCCCCACTCCTCGCCCTGACGAATGGCGTGGCCAGCCATCTAGCTCCCCGGCCACACAAAGCTCGGGAGTTTGGGGCTAAACATGACGGGACCCAAGCACTGAGGAAATTATCGTCGGAGGCAACAAGCAAGAGAACGGAATCTTGATGGCACTGGGACGCGTTGGCTTGGATGACATACCACTGACATGAGTACAGGCTCAGACCTGGAGCTCGTTGAGAGAACCGTCTTGCTGAGGTTTTCGGGCCTTCTCCGAGCAGGTGCCATCGAAGCTTCCGGACGCGCCTGTTCATGCAGCATGAGCACGTCCATCGCCCTTTGGAGGAGCCACGAAGAGCCTGCAACGGCAGATGCGGGCTCAGATTTCGTTTCGACCGAGCCGCTGAGCGTAGGAACCTCTCCAATCTCTCATACATGCTTCGACAGAAGCGCCACTGACTACTGGCGGTAGCATAAGATGCTGTAGCCGCTTTGCGATAGAACAGGCCGGCGACCTTCCTGTCGTTCCGGCTCAAGCATTTGCAGCACAGGAGCCGCCGAGGAGACAGTGATTTAGTAGCCGTCAGTATCCACCTTGTGCCGGTATGCCGAATCTCGTGGAGCCCGACACCCAGTTTCGCGAGCACTTCGTGGACTTCCGTGTGGCAAAGACGGTGAACACCATCCCCTATGATGCATCCCTACCCCAGAAGCCAGCCAAAGACACACCTTTGGGCAACCACAGCAGCAAAAAGGTCACCATCGTAGGTATGGGTCAGGTCGGTCTGGGCTGCGTCTGTGCTATCCTCAATCAGGACATTTGTGGGACACTGGCATTGATTGACATCTCTGCAAAGAAGCTGGAGGGAGAGGCCAAGGACTTTCAGCAAGGAAGCGCCTTCCACCAGCACACCACGATTCTCGCTTCAGATGCCTATGACGTAAGCGAGAACTCTGACATGGTGGTCATAACGGCAGGCGTCGCTCAGCAGCCAGGCGAATCGCGGCTCAGCCTGGTTGATCGCAATGCGAACATTCTGAAGAAGATCATGCCAGAAGTCCTCAAGTACTCTCCGAATGCAACCATCCTCATTGTCAGCAACCCCTGCGACATCATGACGGCCATCGCTGCGAAACTGGCCGGTCCTGACTTCCCACAGGGCAAAGTCTTCGGTGCAGGCACCTGCTTAGATACCTCCCGATTCCAGACGCTGATAGCCCAGTCCATGGACTTGGATCCCAAGAACGTCCACGGATACATCATTGGTGAGCACGGGGACTCTTCGATCCCTGTTTGGTCCTCGGTCCGTGTGGGCGCCCTTCCTCTCTTGGAGCCTGGCGAGGAGCCGAACGACACCTTGAAGAAAATCCACAAGTCAGTTGTGAACTCTGCTTATGACATCATCAGCCTGAAGGGCTACACCAATTGGGCCATCGGTATGTCGACCGCCTACATCTGCAAGGCCGTGCTGAACGACACCCGCACGATCATCCCAGTTTCAACTTGTGTGCGTGGCCTCTATGACGTGGAGGGCGATGTCTTCCTGAGCCTCCCTTGTAGCCTCTCCAGCCACGGCGTGCAGCGCGTGGCGGTGCTGCCCTTGACGGACTCCGAGAAGGCGACCTTCCAGAAATGTGCCAAGAGCATCTGGGAGGTGCAGAAGCCGATTTGGGACAACCTGCTGCCGAAAGAAGCGCCGAAGGCGGAGGAGGCCTGAGAGCTGATATGGAGGGCACTGGAGGGTGTGAGTGAATTCGCGGTTTTCTCAAATCAGAGCTGCGTCTCGAGGGCTCTGTCGTTTCAAGCATGTCGTTTAATTTCGTGCAAGTTCTCCTGGAGCTGTGAATGTGAACCAGGGAGCTTGCAGATCGTGCCGAGGTACCATGAACTTATGGTAGCTGTCACAAGTGCAAGACAAGACTGCCGTAAGCTTGGACTCACCACGCGAATTGTTTCAAGCCTTCGCGAGGCGGGCGGCATCATGCTTCCTTGCCAGGAACTCCTAATTGGGCAACTCTCTGCTTGGTAGGCAAAGCCTCAAAGTTTGCTGCAGAGACCTTTTCAAGGAGCCGCCCTTGTGCCAGGACGCGAGCACAAATAAAGACACAAACATTCTGCCATGTCGTCGAAGGGGTCATGCTGCAAGGCTTGCTTCGTCTTCGCAAGACATCCAGCACCTCTCTAAAGGGGATACGCCGATTGTGTTTGGAAATTCTCCGGCTGAGGCTGCGGGCGCTTCGTGCCGGCAGACGAGCCGCGCTCAAACCTGATCCGGCGCATGGTGCGCCTCGGGTTCAGGACTTGAAAGTCCCGTCGCTAAACTGAACATGAACCATGGATGAAGAGGCAGTGTGCACCAGGTCTCTGGGGTTCTGCCGCTGCCGCTCTACAGTGTCGAAAACGCTTTGGTGCTTGTTGCCAGGCATGGGAGATCGTGGGCAGCCCTGCATTGCTCAACTCGCCGTTCGAGGCCAGTCCATCAAAGAAGACATATATGGTGGGGACTTCTGGTTGCGGCCCAGGCTGCGCAGCAGCGTGTGCAGACGGACTTGATTCCTGCTGGCGCCTCAAAAGCCAGTCCGTCCTGGTCAAAAGCAGGGCCTCCTCTTTCGATATGGTGACAGCTTGACCCTGCGAGGCTTACGAGGAGGAGCTCGGATCAGGCCTGGCCGAGTTTTCTCTCGCTTTTTGGGTTCTTGGACTCGGAGCGGCCGACATGTGGAGTTGACGGGAGTCATGAAGCTCGGTCGTCCTGTCCGGCAGATGCGTCGCAGCCGCAACTGCTGCATGACGCCATTGCTACAGACTTCTCCTTCCTGGCCAAGGAGCGGCTCTCCGTCGGCTCTAGGACTCTCAGGCCTCGGGCCACGAAGCTACCAAGCTAAAGTAAATAGTTCGATGGCAAGTGTTGTGATGCTTTGCAGTTTTGCGGACGAAGCTCCTCACGGCGCTGGAAGACTGTGCGGCTTTTGCTTGCAGGTGCAGCTCATTTCAGAGCGTGCGACGCCCAACCTTCTGCATCCATCGGGCGTCTGTTGTTTGACGCATGCACTGCAGGTTGACTGAAGTAGGCAAGGGCTGGAGAAGACGGCGGGTGCAAGCTTGCTGCTTTTTGCAGAGACCCTGCGCAGTTTCCAATAGGAGCATTGCTGTTGGATCTTGTGGAAGTGCAACAAAGCATAGGCATAGTTCATCGAAGGTTCTTTCTTTTCCTTCAACTTAAGCTGGAAGCAGGCCCATGTTCCGTCGAGGAGCTTCTACGTACATGTTGCGCTTTGGGGCCAATCTCGTCTGGGCCCATTCGTCGGTGTGTTGAAACAGACTATGTGCATTCTGTTTCAATCTCGTGCGCGTGCTGGCCCTGGCAGATTTAGCCCGGGCTCTCTGGCAACCAACAGTGGCAATTGAAGAACCAAGAGTAGACCGATGTTAACCATCGGGACCCGACTGGTCCGGTAAGCAAACTTGAGAGCCGAAGGCAGGGCGAATCTCGAGGTCTGTCCGCCTCGGGGCAGTGCAAGTCCTTGTTCCGCTACCAGTTCGACGGCTACAGGCGGTTTGGAAGCCATGCTGATATGTCGTGCAGAGTTGCTGTGTGATCATAGGGTTCTATATACTCGTATTCTCGAATCTAGGAGAGACCGCATCACAGTCGCATTGCTTCTGCCATTGCTGGTGATTGTCACTGCAATGGTCGTGCCCGTCCGGAACCTCGCAACATCACTAAATGGCCTTTCGGTTACGTTGAGACATGCAGCTGTTGTGAATTTTGCAGGGGCCGGGACGCGTTCCATGGCTCCGAGTCCAGCCCTCGCTCGATGTTTTCGGGCTCATCTCAGGTGGACCTTCTGAGCGAATCTGAAATATGCTGGCAATCAGCATGATCCAACGCCGCAGCCCATTGAGCGCCCTGTCAATGGCCAGAACCGTGCATTGTCAGTTGTGCAGGTCAGGGCGTTTTATGGACTCCGTGTGCCCCCATACCCACACTGAAATTCGGCGGAAACGCATTCAGGCATATCCTGATAACAACTGCCGTTCCCGTGATACCGCTCACGGTTTCAAAGTATGGGAAGACTAAGGCTGACACTGCTCCTGGGTGTTCCAGGTGATGGTGTGGTTGGAAGCCAAGTTTGCAACACTCTGCATCAGGTAGGGCCTGCTCGCACAGATTGAAAATGCCACACCGCAACAGATTCTTGCACTCTGCTTCTCAATGTTTCCTGCAGCCGTGGGCTTGTTGCTGCAAGTTCGCGGAGGTGTTTGATGACCCACCGCCAGCTGCTATAACATGTAGCAAGAATCAGAAAGCGCGTGGCGGAGGCTTGGCCTGCTCAAGTCACGGTCTTGCGGCGTGAATGCTTCGACAGGCCAGACTGTGCGGTGAGAAGGTGGTGGCATCGTCAGAGCACATGGAATTCCACCGGACCGAATGGTTGCAGATGCAACGGCCAGAGCGTCGCTCACACAGAGGTCAGCCGGACCCGGACAGACAGACCGTGCTTGGCAGCAATCGCTGCTTTGTCATGGCTTTGAGCGACTTACAGCATACGACTGCAACGTTGCAATAAGCTCGTGCGTGCACGCAGCTAGCTGGTCAAGTGCACTGGTGCTTTTCCATCGGTTTCAGAAGCATCGACTACAGCCAGACACCATTACTTTCAATTCCGTCCTGGGGGCCAAGCGTGAGTGGCACCGAGCACTGAGCTTTCTCGCGACCTTCTCAATCCTGAGCCTTGAGAGGAGCATTCTGAGCTATGGAGCGGCCTTGCGATGCGTCGGCCGAAGTGCAGCAGAGTGGCGACGAGCCTTCCTGCTCTTGTGCCAATTGGACAAAGCGTCTCTACGGAAGAATATGATCTGTTTGAATCAGCTGGTCTCTGCTTCTGGCAGCTCTCGGTGGGATTGGGCCCTTGTCGTGTTTGGACAGGCCTTCCTTCAAGGTCTGCGTCTGAACCAAGTCAGCTGTACCGCCGTGGCAACTTGCGTACCGCCGAAAGAGTGGCGCAGGCCTTTGCTGTGTTTGGAGCAGGCGATGACGAAGCACCTTCGAGTTTCGGGGATTTCGGTGAATGCTGCTGTGAACTCCGTCGACACCCGGAGTTGGCAAGGAGGTCTTCTGTTTCTGTCGCAGCAGTGGCATGGAGTTTTCACTGATGTTCCGGCTCTCACCACGGCCTTATCGATTCGCGCGAAGGCATCTGCATGGCAAGCGGCAGTGCAGCACTTCTGGGCAATGCAAGAGATCATGCAATGTGCTACCGCCAGCTGGAACGCGGCCATGTCTTCGTACGAGCAGGGCTCAAGTTGGCAGCAGGCACTCGTCCTTTTCACAGAGCTCTGTGCCAAGCAACGTGAGGATGCGGTCAGCTTCGCAGTGGCCATGTCCGCATGCGCTGCGGGGGTGCAGTGGAAAGCGGCACTTTCTCTGCTTGCATTGTTCAAGACGAAAGCTGGCGTCAGGGGCCTTGATCTGTCCAACCTCCCCATTCTCTATGCGACTGCCATAAGCGCCTGCGGACAATGTAAGCACTGGGAAATGGCCCTAAGCTTGCTGGACGTCTTGGAGGGACTGCGCTTGGATGTGCACGTGCCAGCCAGCAATGCAGCCATCAATGCTTGTGAGAAGGCTGCAATCTGGCAGCCAGCCTTCTGCATGCTTTCCGAATTGCAGCATGCCCGGTTTTCAGACCTCATCAGCTATAACACTGCCATTCGTGCCTGCTCGAAAGCTGGGCGCTGGCAGTTGGCCATGGCGCTTTTTTCCGAACTCGCGAGAGTCCACCTCCGCCCCGAAGCGACTACGCTAAACACGGTACTCAGTGCCTGCGCAGAGGCTGCGCTCTGGAAGCTTGCAGTTCACTTTTTCCAACTTTTTGAAGCCAACTCTATGCAACACGATGCCATCGCACACACTGCTGTGATTCAGGCGCAAGGCAGGATCAGTCGCTGGCAAGGTGCCGTCGATATGTTGACAGGCATGGCCACTGAAAACATAGAATTGGACATCGTGAGCTGCAGCAACGGTATTTCTGCATCGGAGCGTGGTGGGCAGTGGCTTCAAGCAGTGCTGCTGCGAGATTTTTTGGGCAGGTACCGGGCGGGTGTTTCCTTCTATCTTCTTCACCCTCACTTTCACACTCTCACTCTCTCACTCACTCTCACTTTCACTCTCTCACTCTCTCACTCTCTCTCTCTCTCTCACTTGCTCACTCACTCACTCCCTCACTCACTCACTCACTCACTCACTCACTCTCTCACTCTCTCTCTCCCTCACTCTCTCTCTCCCTCACTCTCTGACTCTCACTCTCTCTTTCTCTCTCACTCACTCACTCACTCACTCACTCACTCACTCACTCACTCACCCTCGCTCTCTCTCTGGCTCTTCTTCTCTTCGGTTTACAGAATTTGTGAGAAGAGGGTTAGAACTGTGGGGAAGGTTGTTTTCTCAACCGGGGGGAGGAGATGTTTGCGACTGGATGTGACATCTATCAACTCTGCCATCAGTGCCAGTGGCAGCGTAACCAAGTGGCGTGAGGCCTTGGATCTCGCTAGACAGTTGGCGATCCTTGGTGGCGAAATGCCGTGGGCTTGTAGGACTTCGGCTCATTTCATTTTCAGATGTTTCGAGTCTCTAGCTCCTACACAGGGCCCAGGCTCTTGTCTCTGGCGCCTGATGTTGCACCCGCCTGATATCTTCCACATGTGAGGATTTGCCACATGCGGCCGGACAGCGTCAGTTGCAATGCCTCCCTTGGAGCTTGCTGCCAGGCAGGAGACTGGATGCTGACGCTCTCGTTGTTGAGGCAAACGACGCCTCTCGGGAACCCTCTTGATTTTCAGTTTTGCAGTTGTTAACAATATGTGGCAGTTGGATGTCACCGCCTACGCACAGCCCAAGTCCAAAACAGAAAGGCAATCAGTTGAACCTGCAGAAACCTGAGATCCCATCACCTAATTAAGCCGAAGAGACTAGAGGTTTTTAGGGAGCCGGTTATGAATCTTCTAGCCAAGTTCACCATTCCATTGCAATGCAATGCCGCGGAATTTCCACCTCAGGACTCTGTACGGTGTCCGGGCCTCCTCCCTGGGCCTCTTGGCCGCCATGGCGGCCTGTGCCGCTACTGCCTTGTGGGAGGAGGTTTTGTCGCTGCTCTCTCAGGCACAGAAAAGGTCGAAGCCCTCTCTCCTCTCAAATTCGGGCGGGAGCTCCCTAAACCCAAAACCCTATAAACCCGATAAGCCTTATATTCAGGCATGCGCTTTCAGAGCCGCGCCTGTCAGCCTCGCGCTGCAACCCGAAGCAAATGCGTGCAAGGTCGTTTCGGCCCAAAGGGTCCGTAATATACATAGGAGCCTAAAGCTAAACAATCACCAATACTATTTCGGGGGTTCTGTAATATACCCCAAAACCCTATTCTAATTATTGAGGCCCCTACATTACTTCTCCGCATGTCCTCAGCTCAGGTACAATTCAGCTCTGGTGGCTTGCGGGAACGCTGGAGCCTGGCAGCATGCCCTGGCCATTTTGCGGCAACTCCCCGCTGCGGGTCTCCAAGCAGATGCCATCGGCTACGGCGCGACGCTGCTGGCTGCAGCTGGGCTAGCATTGTAGACAGCCGTAGCCGGAGCGAATCATGGGAGCCCAGTGTTTGAAACACGTTCTGTGCACAACGGAGCCTTGACGTCAGGTGGAAGGCACCGACTGGGGTTCTGTGCCCGGCCTCCTCGAAGAGATGGCTGACTCGGCTCTTCTTGCGCTCGAGTTCTGACGAGTTTGCGGAGGTTGAAAACAGGCGCTGGCGATCTTCGGGATCAACATCTATCGGCCTCAAAAACCGCCGTCCTGTCACACTCGTGAACCCCGCTCGATGAAGAACATGCCATGTGTATTGCATATGTATCCACATATATATATATAGATTGGCACGTATGTGTGTTTGTGCGTGTGCACAGTAACGCGAAGTAGTCTTCGCGCAAATCGAGCACGCAAGCGCCCGTCCCTGTCACGCTGCCTTTGCCTCGCTCGCTCTGGCTCTGGCTCTCTCTATCTCTGTGTCTCTCCTGGCCGAGTGCCCCCTGAAGCTAAGCCCACTTTGACAACCGACACACCCAGGAGAGGCGGGGCAGCCCCGAGGTGCGGCAGCAGCAGGAGCCCTGGAAAGAGTGACGAAGCTTTGCAGAGCCTTTCAAGCGGTGGGATCCGTCTTGTTAATGCATTCCATGTCTGAGTTTGACATCAGAAGATGCGGCGGTCAGGGGAGACACAAATCCCAATCCCAGCCGGGCGCGACTCCTAGGCCAAACTATACCGCACAATGGACAACATTGATGGATTTATATGGCCACTCTGTGCTGCAGCCATTTGGATTTGCTGCAATCGCTCCACCCACAGTGCGCCGCCCGCTTGGACTTTCGGAGAATGCTGCCAGCTGCTCCGCCGCGTGCAGCTTGGGAAGCCATTAAACTTCAAACTGAGGGTCTAGGGTTCATCGGGTTTGGGGTACTTCCTGTGTGGTAGTTCCAGGTTTTGGGTGCTGCATAGTGCTGCAGATTTCGGACTACACCGTTGAAGTCTGGTGCTTGATGTCATAGAGTTGGTGTTGCCACGGGCGTTTGAATATTATGAGTGGATGACAATATGCAATATCGCAGTCCATCAAGTTGGTCGGAACACCGAGACGGGATCCGCCGTGGAGGGGAGGGTTGATAATGTTGTAGGCTGCTGGAGTCGCAGCTTCACTTCACAATAGACTTAGCTTTGGGGCTTCGGGATGTTCAGTTCCGTTGAGCCAGCCAGGCTGCACCCGCTACGGCCGTCGTCGGCCATCCCTCCTCAGCTGCCCCGGTCCGCCCGGGCATCCTCCGAAGCACCTGGAAGGTCGCCAACGAGGCCTTTAAAAAGGGTGGAGAAGGGTCTTTCAGGGAGGCAGGTTGGGTTTCATGAAATAGGGACGGCTGCTCCTCTATAGGGCTTCAATGACTCATGACTGTTTTGGACACGTCTCTACAGAGCTTTCCAGAGCCAAAGAGTTGTACGCCCAAAGATGGGACCCTTCCTGGATGAGTCGCGGACAGGTTATCTGGCCTTGCAGCTGCTGGGCAGCTCGCAGATTGCCGATCTAGCTGACAGAAACTCCGACCGGACCGGCTCCGCAGAGACCCCACTGCGCGCCGAGCATCCCTGCCGCCCCTGCAAGCCCTGCCAAGGTTACGCCCTTTGCACCGCGCCCGTGCGTGCTGCCGCGCTGCTGGGCACTGCGCTGGGCCTTCGGCGGAACCGTCGGCGAGCCTCAAGGAGGACTCCAAGCGGCTGAAGCCAGTCCACAGGCTTACGCTGGCACACTCTGTGCAGCTTGACACCAGACATGTCTTGTTTACCGATATCGGCGACCTGCTTTCAGATGACGTCGAATGCATGTACTTGGTAGTTACTGGTAATAGCGCGCATGCATTCACTGCTGCTTAGCTGCCTTGTGGGGCTTGGAAGTCATGGTGAAAGCTTTCGGTTAAGGCTTTGCGTGTTTTGGGCTTAGTTTCCATGTTACTTTGAAGCCTGTACTGCTGATGTTTGCCAGGGTTGGTGCTTCGGTCATGACATGGAGTTTAGTTTAGGCAGAATGCCTCGGAAGCTCTGCTTGGAACTTCCAAGATCGCCTCCCCTGTGCCAGGATCAGTGGGAGCGTATCCTGAGCCTTGGCTTGGCATTCACATGGAGAGAACGCATCAAAAGCTTTCCTTCACTCAGAAACCTCTCTCAGACATCCTCTGCCGCTATTTACTGTTGCATTACAACACCACCGGTTCCTAGGAAAGTAAAAGCTTGTCGCGCATGCATATACGTACTCTTACGAATGTATGTATGCGCATGCAGTCAGGACCAGGGCTCCTCTTCTCATGACGTGATGTAAGTCTCCAAGGCCCTGAATCCACAATCCCCAAGCCATGAGGCCACCGGAAGCCACAATGGCAAGCTCCGAATCCCATGGCGCACTTTGGGCAGGATCGCATCCTCCGGCTGTTGTGCACGGGTTGGGGGTTCGGGAGGGCTATGGGGCCTTGCTTCGGGAGTCCCCGAAAGCCATACCTCGGCACGCAGAGGGAGTCAAGGGCAACTTTGCAGAAGCTGTGCAAGTCTCAGTGTGGAGAATATACACATTAGACCATAAAGAAAAGGGCCTCCAGCGAGCTTCGCGGCTTGGCACAGCACGGAGGAGTTGCGGAGAGGCGCAGCCGAGATGGGCGACAGGTTTCGCCAACTCTTCGCCCGGGCCTCGCGCGCAAAAGTGTAAAGCCATAGCCTGGGTTGCTCGGCTACGCTGATCGGTTAGCTTACCGTACATTTGATGTGCTCGGAGGTGTCAGGGCACTTGTTACTCTGGTGTTGGCGGTTGCCTGCTGCAGCTTGCCTCTCGAAGGCTTGTTTGTTCACACCCGAAGAACCTTATATCCACTAGACAACCTCTATCCGGGAACTGGACAACCTCAACGTCCCGTCTCTTCGCCAATCCGATCTACGCTGAGCCAGGCCCAGGCCAAACTCCAGGCCGTCCCCGTGGAAGGGACAACCCAGCCGACGTAATTGCCTTGAGCAGTCCCTAAGCCGTGAAACAAAGCAACCCCCACAAAAACCAAGGGAACTCCAGGGCTCGTGGGGGTGTCCCCTGAGCCATGGCTGCTTTGCCTTTCTTCGCTTCGCTTCTGACGTGGCTCCTGGTGCTCAGAGCATCGAGCTCTGTGAGCCCATGCGACGAGAGATGCCTGGCCCGGTCTGAGTGTAAAGGAAGTTGCACAGTGGTGAGAATCGTGATTGCCTAAGGCCGAATGAATATGACTGCAGCTGCAATGCTTGCAGTCCAAGCCCTCACACTCGATGGCCCCTTCCGGCTGAGGATATGCCGACTGGCTCACTGATAAAGAGCAGTTCGAGCGAATGGATGAACCTCGCTATCTTCAGGCGGCAACGTTTCGACAGTGCAACCGCAAAGCGACCATTGTCAAACTTATGACTTATGAGTAGTGAGCTATAGCCTAGAGCGGCAGAAGATGGCAAAATACATCAGCTTTAAATTTGCTGACCTCGGTTCGATTACAAGAGATTCGTCTGATCCCCTCAGGGTCTGCACGTGCTGTGCCTCTGGCGCGAGAAGGAGGCAGCTGTCGACCGGGAGAATCCAGAATCGCACAGTGTGGTACACATCAGAAAAAAGGTAGATGAGATGCTACTTATCTGCTATTTACCAAGTACTTCAGGACAGCCGACCTGAAGCGGAAAAATCTTGAGAAGCCTCTACTGTAGCCAGTTTTCATCCCAATCCAGAAGCTTGAAACGACATAAATCTGACATATGCGCGATATGATACGGAGTTGTGGTTGCATGTCGCGCCCTAGATCGGAAAGGTGCTAGCGAGGGCCTGCCTCAATGCATAGACCATCGACAATGCTGCTGCTAAAGTCTCCTGCAGCCCTAAATCCCATCGTTGCCTGCGCAGCGTCGGCAGGATGGCCCAGTGTTCCTTGAAGCGCAGCTCAATGGCATCCGAGAGGAGCGCCGATCAGAGCTTGTCGCTTTGGATTGAGGGTTTCACTGATTGATCTTGGAGCCTAATATGCAGCTTCAATTGCGAGGCGGCTGCTGGTAGAACCTGCCGACACAGTCAGTGGCACAACAAGTCCTTCCGCCCTGAAACACGGCTGTGTCTGACGAGGAGAAGCCGTTTCTGTCCGAGCTCCCTCCAGACGTGGCCTTCCTCGAAGCGTCATTAAGTTCGGGAAGCCGGGTGTGAAGTTGAAGCTTTGCGTGAGGTTCATTAGCTGAGACCAAGATGCTATGAACAGTTTCGAAGAGCCTCTACGCCCAGGTGGTCGATGCTGACTGGGGAGCCTTCCGGAAGCACCTGCAATATCTGATTCGCTTCACGAAGGACGAACGGTTTGCCTGCATTTTCCTGGAGGGATGGTTTTTCAGCCTTAATCCATTAAGCTTAGTATGGATTCGGAGTCTTGCCACTCTGGCAAGATATCCACATTCCTCATAATTGCAGTGGCTCGCTCCGCATGGCCCCCTCCTTCTTGCCAAAAGCCCTTGAGAAATCCTTTCAGGCCACCAACGAGTGGGGGAACTTCCACCTGAAGCAGCCCTTCGGTCTCTTCGAGCCGGGCGGACGTCGACTAGCCTCGACCGCGGAAGCCCCGCCGTCAGCACGGGTGTCCTAATGGGCTTGATGACTGCATGTGGATATTCTGGTTAACTTAAAGAGAGCCGGAACTGCGTGTGAGGTCGTCAGCTAGACATTTCGTCCACTCGAAGTGCATGTTGCCTCATGGGTCCACGTTTTGAAAGTCGTCGGAGCAATCCGAGCGGTTGCACTGTGGTAAGCACGCCAGCCAGTGCCGATACCCACAAGCTAATCGACTCTCGCATCTGACTAACGAAACGGCAAGAAGACGACTGTAAAAAGAGCTGTGAGCCAGAGGTTCTGGATGCCCAGCTGGTGCTCCTCTTCGAAGGCGGGCAATGGCTCCTTGACCTTTATTGACCAACATCATGCTTTAGGGCTCCTTATGATCATATACACTGTACCAGACAAGCCTCTTCTAAGTACTACAGCACCTTTCATGTGGGCTGCCAAACAGCCGTGGGCTGGGCTGGAGCCGAGAGCGAAAGGGCAGAGCCCCGAAGCCAAGAAGCCCCGAAGCCCGGCCTCCGAGTAAGCTTTAGGGTTTAGGGTTTAGGGTTTAGGGTTTAGGGTTTAGGGTTTAGGGTTTAGGTCAGAGGCCCTGCACCGTTGCTTCCGAGGTTTTGGCCTCCGGTGCGAGTCGGCGCCTAGCCGTGCACGTTGATTTGCGGGCTGGCGGGGAGTAAAAAAGGGTAAAACCCATCTTTTTTCCTTGGCTTTCCCTCCTTGGTAGCAGCGAGAGGTTACGTGCGAGCGCTTCCCGGCACGACCTACGAGACGCTTGACTGCAACTGCAAGTGGGGGATTCGAGCGCAGACACGGAGTCTGGAGGCAAGCTCGCCGATGGCCTTGGGAAAAAAAACCCTAAACCCTAAACCCTAAACCCTAAACCCTAAACCCCTAAACCCCTAAACCCTAAACCCTAAACCCTAAACCCCCGTGCATCCCAAGAGAGCCCCTAGAGAGCCGAGAGCCGAGAGCTGAACTTTAAGGCTTTTGACGGTGTCCGTCCAGCCCGTGGTCTTCCTGGTGCGCGGCTTCCTGCGGGAGGAGGTCCCATGGCAGGGGCCTGGGTTTAGGGTTTAGGGTTTCGGGTTTAGGGGGGCCTGGGTTTGCGACTTTGTCTCCTGGGTATCCTACACTTTGTGGGTTTTCGTGGTTGAAGATCAGGGAAGGCCCGACACATGATCAAGCAAGAGTGATCCACTCGCATTCGTGGTGGTGAGATAAGTATGATACTTCAGACCAATAGACGAAGCTTCCGACAAAGAACATCCAAGAAGCTCATCTGGCATTGTCCGCTCGTGAGAGCGTCCATCCAAGAGACAGACTCGAGGAATGCCAGACCATCATTGCCATGGGAGAGGCCAGAATCAATTTACCTGCTCTCCTTCTGCTTGTCTGCTGCCACCTTGCCACCAAGTTGAATCCCCATCGACTTCTTGTTGTCTTCTGTGGGGCTGATGTTGGAGCGGCCACGGCTTGCATGTGCTTCGGTGCTTCATCGTATCAACCTGTCCACCTGGCACCTGCCTGTGTGGGCGTCTACGGTTTAGGGTTCAGGAATTCCAAGCCTTCACAATTCTGACACTGAGCGCGGAGGCCAACATGTCGGAGTCGCCCATCGTGCCCATGGACACGCACCACCGGGGCAAGGACACCACAAGAGAGCAGGGTCATGTAGGATCCAATCGCATATTCGCACGTCTGAGCCATGCACTGGCAGCTAGCCCTTGACTGCGACAGCCTTGTTCGGCATTCGACCACATGGTCACATGGTGGTAACAACCCGACACACAGGCCGGTACTCTTTTGCCCCACCCTAACCACCCTATGCCCAATGTGGGGGTTTCCGAAAATAGGGGACCCAAATATAGCACCCTAAATAGTAGGATCCCTATTATAAGGACCCCATAATAAGGTACCCCTTGTTTTCGGAAACTCCCATGTGAACTCAGTATAAGATCGAGCAGACTTCCAGCTTGTCTCTGGAGGCCACCAAAGAGTTTCGGACCAGCACCCAAGCACGCTTGGAGAGCAGTGAAAGCCCGCTGCTCCTTGGGCTTGAAACGGGTTTGGGCTTTAGGATGTTCCAGGCTAGCTGATGAGAGTGCTGAAGGAGCAGGGCAGTTCGGCCCTCGCACCGCGAGCCTAACTTGCGGATTCTTGGGTTTGTTTCTTGTATGCCTTGAGGCTCACCGAGTTGGACCATCGCATCAGCAACCTGACGCGTGTGCCAGTGCACCACAACGAGGAGGTTCCGCTTGCCTACACTAGGGTTCGCAGAAGTTGCATAAAGCTCTGGGAGGAAGGGCTCCGGGTTGAGGTAAAAGTAAGACATTCTCTCTGCTCTATTTCTGTATCTCTCTCCCTCTTTAAGTCTTTGTTTGGCATTCGAACACTCACCGTCCATCGGCCTTCTGCTCCAGCCCCATGTCAATCCTGATGCGCAGCCTAACGCGGAATGAGATTACCAATCCTGCACGCAAGCCCCGATGCCGAAACAACGGGGCCGATATCTGACACGCCAGACCAGAAACCACAAGCCGCCGGCAGAACCTGGAAAAGCCGAAGCCTAGCCCTACAGTGCTGAACGTGAAACCTTGTAAGCAGGTCCAGATCTTGAGATACCGGCTGGGTGAGTTCTACGCCGCCCACACCGACAACTTCGACCCCCAGTACTATCAGAACAGTGTCGATGCTCGGATGCCGACTCCTTTCCCAGGGACGTGCCTGAACGCTGCTTGAGGGTAGAGGGTCCTGCACCTACACAGAACACTTACACAGACACACACACACACACGTGTGTGTGTGTGTATACATATATCATGTACATATACATGTATGTTTGGACGGTCTGTCCCTGTCCCTGTCCCTGTCTCTGTCTCTGTCTCTGTCTCTGTCTCTGTCTCTGTCTCTGTCTCTGTCTCTCTCTCATTCTCTCTATGCATATACACACATGCTCAAATATGTGTATGCGCACACCTAAGGCACACCTACATACATGCCCAGCTGCATGCATAGATACACACATACGTATGTATATATATATATATATATATATTAATATATATATATATATATTACATATATTATATTATATATATAATCATGTATATATACACACAAATACATACATGTCCCCAGTCTGCTGTGGACTAAGAGTGTAAGTCAAAGTCGCAATCCTTCACATTGAATGGTCTTCTTAGCCCCCCTATCACCCGATCCCAGGATTACATCGACAAGGGGCACCGAAATCGCCTGCTTACCGTCTTCTGGTACCTGACCAACGTGGCCTGGTCACTGATGTGAGTCCTTTCAGGCAACAGTGTAGAGGTTCAGCCAGCAATCTCTCTTGATCTTGCGCTAGATACACGTAATGTCTCAAGGTCAGTCAGGGTGGGGAGACGCTCTTTCCGCGGGCACACGCTCTGCCACAGCCAGAGGCACTCAGAAAAGTCTTAGTGCAGCTGGACATCATTGCGGCATTACAAACACTTGAGTCCATGGAAGTGGCCCTCATGCCTTCTGGCGACTAGTCATCTAAACTATGTCAGAGTGCTGTGCGTTTGAGGGTACATGATTCCCGCAGGACATGCACAGCTGTGAGAAGGGCCTCAAAGTCCAGCCGGAGATCGGCGCTGTGTTGCTTTGGTATTCCCTTCGGCCCAACGGAAACTCCGATCCGAGACATGTCTTCCACAGCTGTAAACTCTTGGTTTCACAGTCCGAAATGTCATCCCAAATGAGACAGGGGCTTGGCACAGACTGGATAAGCTCGATACACCTTGCTCACCTTTCAGCGACCTTACAAGGAATAGCCTCCACGCCTCCTGTCCGGTGCTCCTCGGCAATCTTCATGTGAATGCAGTGTTGTAGGGATTGTAGGGTTTCTGGGCCGAGACCAAGTAAGTCGCAGCCTACAGTCCGCCACATGTCGCCAAGGCAAGAGGGCATGAAATGGTCTGCCAATTACTGGGTCTGGAACAAGCCGCGCGACGTTCAAGTCGCTCTGCCAGATGCAGACTATGATGATGAGTACGGTGGCTGCTCGATTTGATTGAGCGCTATTTTGAGATTCTGAGGATCCATGGACAATGCCCTCACTTGACTACCCGTGGTAGGTTGCAAGCTCACAGGTACGTAGCTTGGCGACGGCCGCCTCGGCCCGGTCACAGCTAGAAGACGGGCAGGAATCGGGGGTCGGGGGTTTCAGAAACGGAGAAATCCTGGTTGTGGTTGTCGCCTACCAACTGTCCAAGCTCCCTCCCAACCTACCCACCCGACCGAAACAGTGGTCCATGTGGCAAGGTGAGTCCTCCGTGGAGGAAGGAGACACTGTGCCTCAAAACAATGTCAGCGCCACCTTTGAAAACCGGCACGAGCACTCCGTGTATCTGCCATGACCTCAGTGCATCAGAATTGTTTCAGAGGAGTCTCTGTCTCCAAGTCGGTCCTAGCAAGACCCCTTGTTGCTGTCAGAAGGGACCCAAACCCTAAACCCTGAAGGTCCTTTAGGTTCGAGACTGTTTTTAAGCTCGAAGCCCTGGAGCCGCTCCTCGCCATGTCGGCGACAATGAAGCTGGGCCTTCTTTGGGACCACTGCGTGGTCCTTCAAACTCGTCGAGTCCCCCCTTGCAATGACCAATTCCACGAACGCCACCGCGAATAGGATTGTGGAGGAGGTTGTTGCCCAAAGGCTGCATGCAGACATGCAGGAGATCGACAGCATTGACAACCCTGCCTCGGAGAACCAGACTTCGAACGAGAGCACGGCCATGCAAGGCCCTGGTGAATTGGCAAGAAACCTGGAGTTCCTGCTGATCAAAGTCGCACAGCTGGAGGCCGTAGCCGAGATGCAGCAGGCCAGGCTGGAAGAGCAGACAAAGAAGATCGTGTCGCAAGAAGACAGGATCCAGTCCCTGGAGAAGAAGCTGAACGGCGAAGATCAGAAGAGTGCCGGAGCTTTCGTCGAAACGGAGCACAAAGATGCACAAACACGATTGAACGAGGCAACCGACGTCTTGAAGAAAGTGATGCTCAAGCACAACAGGCAGCGCCAGAAGGGAATGTTGCATGAGCGACACCGAAGCGGATTGAAGGGCTCCGGCGCCGGGTCTGAACAGGAAGCCGAGGAGGCTGCGAGGTGGAATCCAGTGGATTGGGCCAGAGACTCAATAGACAAGGCGAAAAGCACTTTCGACAGCTTGGTCGACGGCTTCGAGGCTGCCGTAGACAAGGCGCACTGGCTCGCCACGAATGCGGTTGACACCCTTGAGCTCGCCGTCAAGATTCTCAGCAGTGGCTTCAGTGACTTTGGTGCCAACTGCCACGGCAGCAATTTTCCCAGCATCAGGAATTTTGATCCGAGCGGGCTGCGAATCGACTTCGGCAACCTGCGATGCGAACTTTCGTTGATGGGGCAGAAGACAAGGCTGTTCGATTTTCACTTCGGGGAGAGAGCTATCGCTTTGCCTCCTCATCTGCGAGATCTTGAGACCGGCAACATCATGGGTCTCTTGCCGGGACAGTTGCAGCAGATCGTCCGTGGTGACATCATGGGGCTCCTGCCTAACCCGATGCGGCTTCTTGGGGCTCTTGATTGCGCCGGGCAAGCTGACGTGGTGCAGTGTCTCGGCTTCAAGATCATCTCAAACGTCGCTCCCTTGAACTTCTTGACCCGCTTGGGGGACATTTTCAAGGAGTTCATCGAGTCCTTCGCGAAGCTGGCCTCAAGTTGGTGGCTCAAGCGATGAAGGGCGGCCAATCGCTGCAGACGGCGGCCACCACGGAGTTCCCCGCTGTCGGCAAAGAGGCTGTGCATCACAGGGGACCCAACCTCGTCATCACGAAGCACTCGCAGAAGATGCCAGGCAAACACGCCGAGTTGTTGCAGATGGCCAACCTCGAGGAGCCCAAACCCCCGGCTGCAGTCAAGTGGAGTTTTGAAGACTACGGCCCTGAGACCCATGCGCTGGTCACCCAGCTCCTCTCTACCAACTCGGCGGGGAGTTCCATTCGGAGGTAGGATCTGCACGCATCAACACTAACGTGTGTTAGGTCTTGAATCTGGAAATTTCAACTGCAGCGGAGATTCCTAACCGTCCTACCCACATCTCAATGGTGTGGTTTTTGCGGAGAGTGGTGCCATGCCTGGGCCAGTGAGTTTTGTCAACATCACCCAGGCAGGGTTTAAGGTATCAAGTGTCTGCTTTGAGTCTTAAGGCTGTCCATGATTGTTCCAAATCCAAGGTTCAACGGCAGGGAGACCAGCACGGGATCCTGCCTGGCATTCGCACCCAGGAGCAAGACGGGCAGCAACAACCAGGCGACTGAGGCGGATTGGCAGGCACAGACCAGAGACGACTTCGTACAGCTCGAGCCTTGGGCAGTGCCTTGTGGCAACCAGTGGATGAAGGACCATTGGGACAAGTGGCAGGGGTATTCCTTCTATTCGGTGGACACTTCAATTGAGAAATGCCTGACGGTGACCTTCGCGTTGAACATGCAGCCCGTGGCCGCCTTCGTGGGTCTTCAGCCATGAAGCCTCTGATTTCGGTGTCATGGAGGTCATCACGTGGGACCGTGCCCTCTCCGAAGACGAGATGTGGACCAGCATGAAATACCTGAATTGGAAGCTCCAGGCACACCTTGCGCATCGGCCCTCTGCGGAGTCTTCCATGGTGGCCTGGTTCAAAAGCGAAGATGCCAATCCGGTTTGGAAGAGTGCGGTGGGCAGCTGGCAGGGCCACGTGACCAAGGGCAGCGTCCTCCGAAAGTTTAGTGCAGGCAGTGGGGCTCCAGTTCCCGTGGCATACCTCGCCGGTGACAGCAACGCGGGATATGACTTCGGCAAGATCATGAAGCCTGACTTTACGATCTGTTCCATCACTCGCTACGTGGAAGGAGGCAGAATGGGACGCATTCTCCAAAACAGCAATCCCAATTTCATCCATGGGCACCATAGTGTCGGCACCGGTGTGGCTTATTACGGTACCTGGGTCACACCTGAGAATGTTCCGAGGAATACAGATTGGCTTGTGATGTGTGGCAACAACCAGGGGGTTGTCTTCGTTGGCAACGGAAGGAGCAATATCGCTATCCGCACCGGTGCTCTCCGAGACGCAGCCGACTTCAATCTGTACATCAATGAGGGCTTTACCGATGAAGTCTCTGATTTCGGTGTCATGGAGGTCATCACGTGGAACCGGGCCCTCTCGGAAGACGAGATGTGGACCAGCATGAAGTACCTGAATTGGAAGCTCCAGGCTACCATTCCTCGTGAACCAGCTGACAAGCGATCCATGGTGGCTTGGTTCAAGAGCGAAGACGCCTCTCCAGCTTGGCAGAGCACGGTGGGCAGCTGGCAGGGTCGCGTGACCAAGGGCAGCATCACCAGAAAAGTCGAGGCTGGAAGCGGGGCTACAAGACCCGTGACATACCTCGCCGGTGACAGCAACGCGGGATATGACTTCGGCAAGATCATGAAGCCTGACTTCACGATCTGTTCCATCACTCGCTACGTGGAAGGAGGCAGAATGGGACGCATTCTCCAAAATCGGCATCCCAATTTCATCCATGGGCACCATGCTGTGGGCACCGGTGTGGCTTATTATGGTACTTGGGTCACACCTTATCATGTTCCGAGGAATACCGATTGGCTTGTGATGTGTGGCAACAACCAGGGGGTTGTCTTCGTTGGCAACGGAAGGAGCAACATCGCTAACCGCCACGGTGCTCTCCAAAACGCAGCCGACTTCAATCTGTACATCAATGAAGGCCAAACTTCAGAACCCTCTGATTTCGGTGTCATGGAGGTCATCACGTGGAACCGGGCCCTCTCGGAAGACGAGATGTGGACCAGCATGGAGTACCTGAACTGGAAGCTTGTGAAAGGCTCGCAGTGAAGCAGTCCGCAGGCCACTGTTTTAGTGTCTTTGTGATTGCCCATTCGGGAAGACTGTGCCTGCGGTCGAAAAAGCCTTTTGAGGTCTTTCGAGCAAAGCTTGATCCGAGTGGGAATGGGAATGCAATGTGATACTGTGTAGGTTATTTTTGCGCTCATGCTTGTCGAACGTGTTATGTGTCGTGATGCATCTCGACAACTCTGAGCCGACTGTAGACTGTGAGAGCGTATATTGAAGGCTCCAGCCTTTAGGCATCAGTGTGCATATCCGAATCTTGCGCATCACCCAGCAGGCATGATCAGAGGCATCACAAGAGTTCCATCCAAAGCATGCTCACCCCAAAATCCATCAGGTTCTGGAAGCCGCCAGATCGAGAGCAGGAAGCGTTCATGGGTGAGATCCCAGCCCAGGCGGGAGAGAAGTCCAGAATCCAGACTTGTGGAGTGTAAAGTGTAAACTCCTACTTCGAGAGCTTCATGGGAACCGCCGACGTCAATACATCACAGACCTCTATGTCTGAAGGCTGGAAAGCACCTAGGATTGGTGGCCCCAAGCAGCCCAAGATCCGCATCCCAGGGGTCGCTGAAGATGCTCACATTCCCCGGCCACATTTGGCACTTCCGCAGCGGCGTGGACCAGTCCTCTACGCTGCTCTATGTACAGGCATTTCGACTTTCAGTCCCGCCGTTTGCGGGCCTTTAACTGAGTGTAGTTCGAAGTATGCCAAGGGAAATCCGCGGCATATCGCAAGTGGCATAAACCGGCATCAGCATGGGTATCAGTGCTTCGGAAATCTTGGATAGTTTCGCGGAGGGATGTCATCCGTGCCTCAAGCAATTGCCATGTTTCAACCGGGACATGGCTTGAAGATCTCATGGGAGGCCCTGCCCATTTGCCAAGTCGTGAGAATCGAGTCGAAGCCTGAGACCCAGTAAGACGAAAACGACCCGCCAGAGCAGGAGATCTTCGATGGACAGCCCGAGCAGGTCTTCTACCTGGCAGGCCGGCTTCGGGTGCGGGAAGCATGAACTGGCGTGCATTTTCTGCTCTTTCAATCTCTTTCATACACACTTTACATACATGCATACATGCATACAGACATTTTTGCCAACCGTAGGTCACGTACATTTATCTCCCTACCTGCCTGCCCTACCCACATATATGAGTCGTGTTATGAATGCCCCGGAACGCTTCCAAGCCTGATTCAGAAGCAGCGCAGGCGAGGATCCAGGAAAGACGCCATCAGAGCTCTAGGCCTCGAAGGTGGGCCCGGCGCAGTCCTTCTCGGCGATACTGCAAGTTTCTGTACCTCCTGGCCACAGATGCTCTTGGCATGAGATGCAGACTCCGCGAGATCGAAGACATTTTGTCGTGAGCACCTAGGACATGGGTACTTGCGAATGTTGGAGTCCGGATCTCGCTGCCAGGAGGGAGTGAGGCTGTTTCTGGATGTTCCCCCAAAGCAGGGTATTGAACAGATTGTTTAGTGCAGAAGAGCCCGATTGCTTCGCGCGACTCGCATTCGCGAAAAGCAGGTACGCTGAGCGAGTTTTTGTTTGCAAGAGGTGCTTGGACAAAACGCCCAAGCAAAGGAAAGGGAGATGCGGTTTGTCCCGGAGAGCTTGGGGAAACGGGCACCCTACGGGGCTGCCATCGGACGTAAGAATACTGATAATCTGACGTCCCTTGACAGATCCTTGAAAGCCATCCCACACGACTCGCAAGCTCCCGAGTCCGAGGGCGGGATTCACCTGCCGAGCCTGGCGCCGCCGGCCGCTCAGGCCAGTCCGGCCCCCGAAGAGGCCCTCAGTTGCTTTGTGAGTTGTGTTGCTTCTGGGATGTGCCCTTGAGCCCTTGACCTTGAACGCATCTTCTGCTTTGAATCTCACTTCAGGCTTTGCTTTTCGTCTTGCCATGAACATCCGCCGTGCATCTTGTGTAGATGCAGTTGTCCCAGAGCTACCAGTACAGTCAGTCGGCGAACGTCCGAGGCTCCTAGGCTCGTGTCAGAACCCAAAGTTCTGAACTCCGAAGTCCAATGACCGATTCGGGTGAGCGTGCACTTCCTGGCGGAGCAGAGGTGGCTTCGGTCCAACCAGGAGCGCTCTATCAGATGCTAGGCTGAGAAGTATCGGGCCTTCGTGACATCAGGCAGGGATCTTACGGCGCTGGCTTACTTGAGCCTGAGAGAAAGACAGTTTGAAGAATCAGAAGGGAGTCTCTGAGTCTCTGGCAGTCTAGCCGACGGCTCAGGAACGACTACATGACACTCTGGAATGACAGCAACGACCCTGTCTCAGCTGTGCTGTGCCTCGGCATGACAGGGCAGGATCGATGAAGAGGTGCGGGGGGTGAGTCAACGTCGCCGGTCCAGAGACTAGGAGCACCAGCATAGCCCCTGCTTGTCCAACCAGGGGCAAGGCCTGCCACAATTTCACTCGCCGCATTTATCATCCCTGGTTTCTCTCTGTAAGATATCTTTCGCTTATCTTATCGCTGGACCTCTCACAGGCGCGTGGTCACACCTGACCGCTTCGAGCTCAAGGCTCAAGGGGGTCTGAAGGACATCACGGAAGCCGGAATCGTTTGGCCCAGGTCATTGTTCAACTCGTTTTCCGAGCTCCAATAGTTCAAGTTGGCTTTGATCTTCGCGTCCAAGTTCGAAGAAATTGTTCCTGTCCCCTGTAAGTATGGGATTGAGGATGTCTCTGTTACGGGGTTGTTGCTTTGCATGAAGATCCCGACAGCAGCATGAGTGTCTAGCAACAGCATCGTTTGATGGATTTGGGTTGGGCAGTACTCGCGCAGTAAAGGTGTCCCAGCTCGACTCCGTCGGCGGCGGCAGCGATGGGTGGATTATTTTGAGGAGATGTTTGGGGGGATGTCTGAGTTGCTTCTCGAGCTTTTGTTCGGCTATTTTGGTTCATCTCCTGGAAATCTTGGACGGGCTGGGCTCAACGTGCGCCGAGCGGGGCATTTGCCCTGCCCTACCCGGCCCTAGCCTCCCTCCCGGCCTCCCCTGGTACCCGTGCAGTGGAGCACACCGTTTGTGCGTGCATATGTGTTCATACATACACACACACACACACATATATATATATATATATATAATATACACATACGTATCCATATACAATATATATATATATATACATATATATATATATACACACGCACATATATATATATATATATATATTTATTTATTTATGTATTTGTTTGTTTATTTATTTC